TTCGAATTTTCTTTTTTTTTTAAATTTAATTAATAAGTCATGTGAAATTGTAAAAAAAGCTGAAAACAAATTACTTTTCTCATTTTGACGAAGATTAGACAATATTCAGAAACAATATGTACAATTGTTCCTTTAATTCTTTTATAAAACTTTGATCAATCGGTCCGAGAAAACGGTTAGCATTAGTTATTTGCTAAAATTAAAAAAAATAAACATAATTTTTTATTTTTCTTCCAAATGTAAACAACTTCAAGAAACAATACTGCTTAATTTTTGAAAAAAAATTCTAAAATTTTTTTTGATTTTTTTGAATTTGCAAAAAATTCAAGAAACAATACTGTTTGATTTTTGAAAAAAAAATCAAAAATATTTTTTTGAAATTTTTTCGAATTTTCTTTTTATTTCAAATTTAATTAATAAGTCATGTGAAATTGTAAAAAAAGCTGAAAACAAATTACTTTTCCCATTTTGACGAAGATTAGACAATATACAGCTAAAAAAATTAGTCTCCCCATCAATATTAGTGAATACGCAGTAGATTTACTAAAACAACGCAAAAAGTTACTTTTTTTTCTTTTCTTTAAATCAATGTTGAGGGTAAAAAAAAATATTTTTCAAAAAGTTATAAAAGGATCTTTATTTCAGTTTTTGACACTACCCTTACATTTTCTGTGTGGTTGCTGAAATGTCGATGATCAAAAACAAAAGGATCCTTTTTCATTTAAAGTCAGATATCTCAGCGACAAATTGACGTAAAGAGAATATGAAAAAAGCGTATTTAAGATGAATGAACAGGCTATCCAGCCTATTCACTGACTTAACTAAAAAAGAAATCTCCATACCCGTGGACCAAAAGCAAAAACACACAAATTTAGAATTTTTTTCTGGCGCTATTACTTAGGATTACGTGATAACCGTAGTACAGAAAAAAAAATTGCCAAAAGATCTCAAAACTAGAAACTTAAAGCTTCAAAATAGTTTTGTTTATAATCTAAATAGGTACAACCATTTTTCGATGAGTTTCAAAAATCACAAAAAAAATTAAGGAAATTTTTTGTTCCTTTAATTTTCTAGAGTAGTGTATTATGTATACTGATCATTTTTTATTTTTTGCTGTACAAAAATGTATTAAATACTAATCATTTATCATTAGTGAATTATTTACTGATCGCTTTATTACTACCCAAAAAAATGGTCTTACAGAGGTGGCGCCCTCTTCGTCTTTCGGTTCGCATTCGAGCAAGAGCGGTTGAGTTGATCTAGATTGGGGCATGATGAAGGAAGTCTCCCAACTGTCCGAATTCTCTGGTAGTAGTTTTTCCACCGATGATGATGAACCGATCGGGTTCGAAACGGTCGTATGGTTGGGGATCAAGTAGTCTGAGGATTGGGGTACCACTTGGAGGCAGTTTTCATCTGAGCTCAATGGTCGCATGACTGTAGCGTCGCGTTCGTTGGATGGGGGGCGGTTGAAAACTGGTAAAGGGGCGTTCATTACTTGGGGGTCTTGGAGGCAGTAACCAAGACGTTCTAAAATCGTGGCGAAAGTGGGGCGCTGTTCGGGGGTTGGGTGCCAACATTGCGTCATTATGCCGTAAATAGGACCTGCAAAAAGGTACAATTTTGGTACAGACAGTTTTATATAGGTGTGCATAAATAATTATTAATCAAACATAGATTATTCTTAAATACAGGGTGATTCAAAAGGATCGTACCATCAGTCGGGGATTTTGAGATTTTTGGGTTTATTCCAGAAATACATATAAGAATGTCCCCCTGCTTAATTTCTACAAGGTGTAACGAAAAAGAGTAACCTCTGATTGCCCAGGTCAAAATAAAGTTACACTCTTTAAAAGTTCAAAAATTATTTTCGTTTTTTTTTTAATAACTTTTTGTGGAGTAATAGATTTTTTGTAATTTGGTATAGCAAGTAATGAAAAAAAATAATTTAAGCGGATGTGTACAAAATTCGGTTCCCCATGTATTAAAAAACAACATTAATTATCATTGTTTTCAAAATTGTGTTAATTTTTGTTTTTTTTTTTGGTTTTAGTTTCTTTTTTATGTTTGTTCAGTTAACGATAATGTAATAATTATTAATTTAAACAAAACAAAAATTTATAAAGATTGAAATTAGCCATGAAAATAGGCCCAAAATATGCATTTTTAAAATGTTTTTTGTTACTTTTTTTAATAGTAAATAGACGCATTGCAGAATCGTACGAGAAAGGAATTTTGTTAAATTAATTAATGAAATGAACTTGAAAAAGACTATAAATGTATTATTTCGGCTTATTTGTTTCTATCTAACACTGGTTTTAGAGGATTTTATTGAACTTAATCAAAAAATCCTAAAAATTAGATCCGAAATTTGTTACCTATTTTTTCACTAATTGTCGGAAATATTTCACAAAATCGATTATTTCAGATTGTGTTGTGTCATTTTTCGTACTTTCTAATAAAAAGTCCAGCATATTTTAAAAAGTTTCACTCACTATAATTTAGACTTAGCTAAAACAAGGCAGAAAATCGCCAATTTGTCGATTTAAGTTAAGGTGTCTTTCCCTGAAAAATTCACTAATTTCGAAAAATTTCGGTTAAAGACAAATGATTGCAAAATTTTAGTAAAATATTTTTCGATAGTTGCATGATTGTGAGATTTCAGAGAATTTTGTTGTTGAATTGTTTATGAAGTTCACTCTGGAATTAGTTGCACAAATTTTTGAAATTTTATTAAAATTGCTTGGAATTATTAAAATAATCTTTGAATTGTTTGGAATTATTAAAATTATTTGTGAATTATTGAAAAAATCTGGAATTCTTTTTGGAATTGTTAGAGATAATTTCTTCTGAAAATTACATTAAATTTCTTAGATCTATCGGGATTGATTTAGAATCACAGGAAATATTTTGGAATTACGAAAATTAAGTTATTTATTATTTTGGAATTATTTAATTATTTTGTTATACGTTATTCGAGTCGTGTAATTTTTTCTTTTTTATTCCCAACGTACATTATTTTTAAATAGTTTTTGTATATTATAAAAAAAATTATATCGGCCCTGGTTCTAGAGTAAAATTATTATTTAAGTGGACGTGTCAAAAATTTGAACGTTCCCTATTCATTAACAATAATAATAATTATCACTGTTTTTAAAATTGTGTTAAAATGTTTTTGGTTTTAGTTTTTTTTTGTATGTTTGTGTTATTTAACAATAATGTAATAATTATTAATTTAAACAAAGAAAAAATATAAAGATTCAAAATAAGCCCAAAATATGCATTTTTAAAATGTTTTTTGTTCCTTTTTAAAAAAAAATCCTTGTTGAGAATTTTTTTTTCAAAAAATTTTCTAGGTTTTACTTTTTCGAACGTGAAACCCTCGATATCTCGGCCATTTGAAGTCGGATCGCTTGTTTAAACAGACTTTATTAATTGTACGAAAAAGGAATTTTGTTAAATTATTGGAAAGAATTTAAAAAACACTACAAATGTATTATTTCGGCTTATTTACTTCTATCTAACATTTAACATTTAATAAACGTAGCAAAAAATCCCAAAAATTAGATCCGAAATTTGTTATTTCCTCACCAAATGTTTAAATTTAGCAATAATTGTGGGAACTGTTTTGTGTTGTGTCATTTTTCCTATTTTTTAAAATAAAGTCTATCATATTTTAAGAATGGGGAATTCACTTATTAATTTTTTGCCAAAACAAGGTAGAAAATCGTGTTTGACCTGATTTAAGGTGTCTTTCCCTGAAAAATTCACTAATTTCAAAAAATTTCAACAAAACAAGACAAAAGATTGAGAAATTAGGTCTGAAATGCATTGTTTTCGCGATGAATTTCAGTAAAAATTCTTTCGATAGTTGCACGATTGTGAGATTTCAGAGAATTGTCTTTATGAAGTGAGAGGCCGTTAATTCTGGAATTAGTTGTACAAATTTTTGAAAAAATCTGGAATTCTTTTTGGAATTAGAGAATTTCTTCTAAAAATTACGTTGAATTTCTTACAACAACCGGAATTATTTTGGAATTACGAAAATTAAGTTGAAATTAGGAGAATTATTTTGTAATCATAGGAATTAATCTGAAAACAATTGAATTACGATGAATTAATTCTAATTACTGGGAATTCAAAGATTTTTTTTTTGAAATTACGTCAATTTTGGTGGATTTTTTTTGGAATTGGAATTATGTATTTGTACACATGTTTTCCAAATTAACGGCCTCTCGTTATGAAATTTCTTGGAGCACCTTTGAATCAATTATGAGCTTGTCAGTAATTTTCTTATCAGTTTGAGAAAGCAACATTTCTAAAAAGTTCCGGTAAATGGAAAAAAGGATTTTTTCCAAATTTTTAACCTGGTAGGAGTTGAAGAATGTGAAGGAAATAATTTTTCCATCAGGAAAATTTAACAGATAACAATTTTGGACATCAGCAAGTACGAAATACCTTCTGAGAATATGTTCCGTTAAAAAAATGATTGTGTAATGATAAAACTTATCATTAGTCTTAGTTTTTCTTCAAGAAGAGTTAATTTTTTTTGTTCAGATTTTTATTGTTTTGTTTCTTTTTTGTTAGGTGGTGCATTTGTGTACATATGGAAGTTAGTGTGTTGTAAAGAGACTTAAAATTTTATCTAAGTAGAAAAATGTACACAAAACATCAGTTTTGTTTATCAAAACAAAAATGAAAATGTAAGAACAATCCCTTAATTTTGCATTGAAGTATGTAACAAAAATATCGAAATATTGAGGTTTTGTACACTTTTCAAGCCTTTTGTGCCAGAAGATTAAAAAAATCCTTGGAATGCAATTATTTCAACTCACTAAAATGTATACAATTTTCTCTGTGATTTTTAGATGGAAAAACAGACGTCAGATCAAACATTTTATAATTTGCTTACAGTTCTAAAACTCTCACCTGGACAGTTGGCTGGAGGGTCTAAACGTCCTCCACTAGTTACAAGTTGCATGACTTCTCTATTTGCACACCCTGTATAAGGCATATAGCCCATTGACATAATCTCCCACAATAACACTCCAAAAGACCAAACATCAGTTTTACTGGTGAAAATACCATCGAGGAAAGCTTCTGGAGGCATCCATTTTATTGGAAGCATTGCTTTACCACCTTTTCTATAATAATCCGACCTAAAAATCAATGATTAAGAAACTTTGACCTTTACATTTTTTGTAGTAACACACCTGTAGACATCTCTAGACATACCAAAATCTGCGATTTTAACAACACGGCCTGGTCCTTTAGTAGTCAACAAACAGTTTCTTGCAGCTATATCTCGATGGATAAACCTGTTGTCTTCCAAATATTTACAACCTTTTGCTACATCAACCGAAATTAATACTAAATCTTTCATGGTTAGAGGACTTCCACGTTCCTAAAAACACATAAATAGGCATAATTCTTGGTATTAATGGTTGTACTAACAGGTTTCGGTCTTGACTCTCTTAGGAAGTTCTTAAGGTCGCCTCCGGCTAATAGTTCTAAAACTATAAACCTCGGGTGTTTATCAAAACAAACTCCAATAAAATGGACAATGTTAGGATGATTAAATTTCGACATAATTAAAGCTTCCATCAGGAAATCCATTTCAGCTTGAGACGTAGACATTTCAGGGAGTGTTTTTACAGCAACTGGCATTTCAACAGTATCGCAAGGTCTTTGCCGATAAAACCCTTGGTAGACTTCTCCAAAAGCGCCTTGACCCAAAGCTCTGTAAAGTAACATAACTGAAAGACTTTATCTCATTGACAAGCATCAAAACACCGATAATAACTTAATGATTTTAATCAAACTTACATCAGATCGACGTTGTCTTCAATTGAATGTAAATTTGAATTTGAGCCCGAATTAGCCCTTTAATTGGATAATTAATATTTGATTAATTCGAAAAAGTTGAAGAATAAGAACGAAAAATAAAACAATGTGTCACAAAAATACAGTTTTTATTATAACATAAAATAGTACAAATAGTTAAACTAAAACTGGGAAGTGAAAGTGAGGTTTTTGAATTGTGTTTTAGATACATACACACACAACATCAAACATGCTTACTTAACAAGTCGCAGTTGTTCTCTTGGGATATCTTTCAAGTCCTTAAGAGTGTAAACGACTCCTCCGAATTCATAATTTGGGTTGTATTCGGTCATCATGCTGTCAGAAGCCACACGAAGGCGGTCTAACTGAAGGTCAGCACCAGAAAGTATCTTTCTGCGAAGAATTCCAGAAGCTCGATGTTGGTATCTGTTATCTGAAATGTTTATAAATAGCTTGTAACTCTCAAAGTTAGAATCTAGAAATTTCGAGAAACTATAAAGTCAAATTAGGTATTCTATTTTTAGATTCAAGTGTCTTAAATTGTCAAAATATTTACATTTTGAATCTTAATAGAGATTTTGCCACCCTGAAATCTCAGAGAAATAATTAAAGCGTAACATTTTGAAATATCAAGTAAATCAATAAAATCAGTCTTTTAAATCAGAATTATGTACTTTAAAATTTTTACTTTTAGAATTCCATTGTACTGAAATATTAGAATAATAAATAAATAAATATAAAATCAGCAATTTTTGAGATTTGGTATCTTAATATTTTACAAATAAAGCCCAGTATTTGAAAATCTTGGAAGCAAACACTTTCTAATCTTTGAATGTAAAACTTTAGAATCAGAACAACTTAAAATTTTGTAATATTCAAGCAGAAACATTTTTTAGAATTCGTGAAACGTAGTACAATAAAGATCTGGAATCTTGAAATCTTCACTAAAAAGATTTTTTAAATCTTAAATTTCTAGAATGAGCTTATTTTAAACGTTTGTGACGTTAAATTTTTAAATAATTTTAAATACCTTAGAATTTGTTATGAAAGTTTAAGATTTTGAAAGTAACAAATTTTTGAATTGCTGGATTTTAAGAATTCAACCATGAATCTTGTCTTTAAAATCTTCAAAATTTGCAATTATTTTGAAGTTACTTAGTCTTGAAATTTCTCAATCATCTTCAAAGTGTGAAATCTTGAAGCTGTCGAAACTTTTAAATTTTAAAACTGAAATTTTTTACCACATTTTTGAAACGCTAGTCGTTAAAATTTTTACACTTATAAATCTTGGAATTTTAGATTCGGTGTGGAATCTTAATTTCGTTGAATAAATTCTTTTTTTAAAACTTTGGATTTAGATTTTTGAATATCTGAGGCGGAAAAATATATAGAGCTGCAACAAATCGTCAACATTTTTAGACAATAAAATTTTAGAAAACATAGAAAATTGAATTTAAAGCAAAGAATCTTTCTAGTGTCATTTATAAGAAAAAATCTTAGGATGGGTTTATAAAAGCCGAATTAAATATTTGATTGCAATTAAATTGGTTTAATTTTGATGAACAACCAACTAGATTTCAGAATTTTGAAGTTAATTAAATTAATTTAATAAATTTTGATTTAATTCACTTTCTGTAAACCCACCCTTAGAATTCGTAAAATCTAGCCTTTAATTATAGAAATTTTTTGAATTCAAAATTCCGAAGCTAAAATTTTTAACAACAGTTAACTTTAAATGTTTAGGCAATGGAAATTTTTAGAATTATGTGCAAAACATAAAACCTCAGAATTCTGAAACGTTAAACTATTTTAAGTCTTTAGATTTCTAAATTTTTAGGTCTGTTAATTTTAACGGAATTTTTAGACTCTGAATCTTAGAATCGCAGAAAATCCAAATCTTAGAGTTTTAACCAATTTTGGAAACAAACATTGGCATACAGAATTTTAGAAATAGATTTTAGAAATTTGGAATCTTACATTTTCGTAGAACTTATAATTCTTCAATTTTAAAACTCCTAAAGTAAAAATATGAGATTTGGTATTTTTTAGATCTGGGAACAGAATTTATAAAACCTTTACATATTTTTGAATTTTCCAAAACATAAAATTTATGATCGAACTCAAGATTTTATAATTAAAAAATTTTAAAAACATAAAATTAAGTGGTATTTTAAAATTAGGCAAATGACGATTGGAAATTTATGAATTTTCAATTTCGAGGTTTTAGAAATGCAAACTTACATAGGATGAAGCAAATAATCGCCACTAACGTGGTCAAGAAGATCACTGAGATAATCAAAACGATGAGGATCCAAGAAGTAGCGTCTCCTGCTGCGTTTTCTGGAACAGCTAGAATTTTCAAACACATTAGGTTCATTTATTTAACACTTAAAATAAATAATCTAGATCTAAATCTTGTATTAGGCGGGACAAAAAGATGGGGCATCAAAATTTTGAGACTTTATGAAAATTCACTGTAAAGCATGCTTCAACGTCAAATTTGACTTTTCAAAACGTCAAAATGACATTAAATTGAAAGCGAGGTTACTTTCTAAGGGCCGTTTTACATTTAATGTCAACAAAATGACCCATTTTTTTGTCCAGGATGGTACCATAATCTCCCCAAGGCAACACTTACTGATACACGTCTTGCCGTCGGCATCAAGCTTCCAATTCTTGGGACAAATACAAGCAGTTAGAGATTTTCTCGAATCCAACGCCACACATCGATAGTTGCAATCACATCCCGGTATTGCAGGAATGATTAAAACCGACCCAGGACCAGCATTATACCCCGAATGTGCTTCCGACAGGTTCAACACAGTCCTACTTGGATCAATAAAAGAGTATCCTCCTTCACCATTCGTCGTATTAGTTGATGTAGCATCCCCTCCTGCATATCCTCCACCACCACCTCCGGATCTACACCCACCACCCCCACCACCAAACCCTCCATATCCACGCTCATCGGTAGAGTTGTAACACGCTCTCCCACCAATACCACCACCATCGAGGAGTGCACGACCCATCAACTGTTTATGACCGACATGGACAATCCCGGGGAACATTTTCCAACCACCACCAGCACCAGCAGAACTAAGAAAAAATGTCAAACTCAACTAAAACAAAATTTTTATTTTTTAAACGTACTTTTTTCCATACATTCGGCCGGTAAAAGGGGGTTTCGACATGTTGATGGCTTGTCCATGTTGTCTCCCTGTGTCGATAAATCGGCCAAGACCTAGACCTCCACCCCCAGCAGCTACAGCAATAGGGATGTATTGTCTACTTTTGTTGCGCAAAAATAGGAATGTTGCTCCACCTCCACCACCCCCACCATCATTAATAGTCATATTTAGAAACTCCCGAATTCCTTTCACCCTATCATCATTTTTAGGGGATGAACACGATGAGTTACCCTCATGTCCAAGAGACTAAAACAAATTGTGATTTATTTCATTAGTTAATTACACAAGGCGACAAAAAAAAGTCAAGTCGTGACAACTTGACAAATTTCATATCATTTTGTTCCTCTCAGTGAGACAAATCAAAAGCATAATTTTTTTCTAATTTCAATGAATTTAAAATACTTTAATTTAAAAAAATCATTACTCAATAACTATTAGGCCGATTTCCTTCAAATAAAGACCATTCTAAAGGGATGGACTTGCCCTTTGGAATGATATGCAATTTGAAATTGAATATTGGTAAACTTTTCTTCAAACAGTGTTCGAAGAAGTTCGAAGTAATCTAAGAAAAACTCTACGAGTAATTTTTTTTCTTCGTCACCATCGTGTAGAGCATCTTTTTATTAGTAAGAATCCAATTTTTTAACATAATACACCGAATAGTTTTGAAGATATGATTTTTTGAAATTTTTTGCTGTTTGCTGTTTGCTGTTCAGGTATTGCGCCATATAGGAGAGTTAATCTTACTTAAAATTGCATTTTTATAAAATAATTTGTTTTAAGGCTCTTCTTTTGCTTAAAAATGGTCAATTGCACCTTTTTTGTTCTAATTAGAATAAACAGAAACTGTTTCTTTACTTAAAACAAACAAAGAGTACCTGCGTACTAATTAAAGCAAATAAAGAGTTTTTTTGTTCTAAAAATGATCACTGATTATTGAGCAAAAAGGATCTAGAAGTTTAAAGCAGTAGCTTTAAATATAAGAACGAATCTTTTTCAAATTAAATCACTTTCCATTCAGATTCCAACTTGTTCACTTTGTTCTAGCTTTCTGAACCTTTTGGTCATTTTTACAACAAAAAACTCTTTATTTGCATTAATTAGTACGCAGGTACTCTTTATTTGTTTTAAGTAAACAAACAGTTTTTGTTTATTGTAATTAGAACAAAGAAGGTGCAATTGACCATTTTTAAGCAAAAGAAGAGTCTTAAAACAAATACTTTTATGAAAATGCAGTTTTAAGTAAGATTAACAGGCATTTCTTCTATATGGAGCAATGCTTGATTAGCAAACCATAACTTAAAAAAATCATATCTTGAAAACTACTCGGTATATTTTTTTGAAAATTTGGATTACAACTAATAAAGAGATGCTCTATACGATGGTAATGATGAAAAAAAAATACTCGTAGGGTTTTTCTTAGATTATTTCGATTTACTTCGAACTTCTTCGAACACTGTTCGAAGAAAAGTTTGCCAATATTCAATTTCAAATTGCGTATCATTCTAAAGGGCAAGTCCATCCCTTTAAAATGGTCTTTATTTGAAGGAAATCGGCCTAATAGTTATTGAGTAATGATTTTTTAAAGTTAAAGTATTTTAAATTCATTTAAATTAGAAAAAAATTATTTTGTTCAAAGTGTGTGAACTTTTTGAATTTTTTTTTAGTGCATTTGATTTGTCTCACTGAGACGAAGTTGTCACGACATGACTTTTTTTTCGCCTTGTGTTATTTAGTTACAAACCTTAACACAAGCACTGGTGCCTTCTTGACCAACCAACGTGTAGATTTCTTGTCCTTTTCTTAATTCCAGAACCACTCTTACCATTGCACCTCTGGATGAACCCATAGCACCGCTTCCTTTACCACCACTCGCCCCAACTAGAATAAATCTAAACCAGAATTGTACCAGAAAAATTCATCAATTTTGAGTACGTACGTATAAAATCCATCGCTTGGTGATGTCCATTTTTGTACCCCACTCAATCCAGGTTCACTCAAAACTTTAACTTTGATTTTGGTGTTATTGTACGCCACTGCACAGTTCCTTTCAGTGGGACCAAAACGACCTTTTGCACTACATGTTGTAATGTGGTAACCTACAACCACAATTGAGTATTTTGTAAATTCTGATGAATGTTTTACTAGTTTCATTAACAAAGTGCTTGTGAGTTTCACGCCCTCCGACATGCTCGTCATAAGGATTCCAGTAGTTGTAACCGTTGAGCTCCTCTGGGGGTATATTCAAGCCGAAACATTCGGGACTTAGTGAGACATCATCAATTGCAATATCACTAATATATCTGTACCCTCTTTTAGCATCGAAATGTATGAAATACCTAAAGTAGAGTCGTATATTAATTGATTTAATTTGATTTTCAATTACTTGTGTGTTATGTTGGGCAAAATGAAGACTTGTCGTATCCACTTATCGCCATAATCGATAAAACTCCACAGAATTTCCGTTGAATAATTGTCAGTGGGTTTTAGTTCTGTGACTTGGAGTTGGATTCCACTTCGGTGTTTACCCGTTTGGTGGAGGTAAAACCTGATCTGTTAGGAAAATAGAAAGTTAGGGAAGAAATATTTTTTGGCACTTTTCGGACACAGTTTTAGAAATAGAAATGTAGAGGGTAATTTTTAAATGATTGGCAAAAATTTAGTATTACATTATGATACACAAAACATAATATCTTAATAAATTTTTTATCGGTTTTGAGAAAAAAATACAACTTAATTTTTTTTTAAGGAAATATCTAACAGGTTTAACGTTAGCACCACCAGCAAATTAAATTAATTCCCGGTAATTTTAATAAAGAAAGTTGGCAGTTCCGGTTATTGATTATATTGAAACTAATGTCAAAATTTTGACTTGGTGATTTCTTAATTCTTATCATTTAAATCTAAATTTCTATAGTTAAACTATTAATCTGAAACTTTCAATCTCATAAAAGCAAAAAAAGTTCTTATTTTTGAGATTTTTTTTTGTCATACTTAATACAAAATATTTTTGTAGTTAAATATTATTTTAAATCTATAAAAACGACGAAAAACCATGACCACTTTCGTCAGCAATCGCAAAATATTAACTTTAAATCCCGAATTTCTTTTTTTTTAACTCAAAAGTTCGCTCACCGATTATTTAAAAACCGTAACTTTTAATCTGAAAGCTTAATATATAAGTTGGCAATTCCAGTTTTGAAATTACAAATTAAAAGTTGTGTAACAAAATTTTGAGTTAGTTTTTATTTTTGAGATTTGTTGTTGCACTTATAATTCTATAAAATCATAGAGTCAGAATTCATAGCTTATTAATTATCAACAATTTTAACATTAAATCTTAATTTTTTTATTTTAAGAAAATTTCTGAAAACAGAATACTTTATACACACCAACACAAAAAAACACAATACTTTATAAATGTAAATGTAAAAACATTTATAAAGTATTGTGAAACTATTATTGTTTTTTTTTTTACTTTGACACTTATTCAACTTAGATTTTTATAAATTAGAAATCCCCCAATTTCACAAAAACTTAAAAAATTAAAACTAGATATTAACTCAAAATATTTTTTTTCGATTTTCATTTTATAACCCAAAATTACATAAAAATTTTCGATTTCAACATTAGAATCTTGAGTTAAAATTTTGAACAAAAATATTGTTGTCGCTTTTGTGATTATCAAAAATTGAAGTACAGTTGCTGAATTAAAATTTCGGGCAGTATTTTTCTGTCACTTTAAAAAGTTCACTGTAAACTACCCTTTACTGTCATCATGACTGACATGTGACAATTAAACTTTTTTTTTGTTGTTAAAATTGTTAATTAAACAATTTGTCTGTCTTAGGAAATTTATTATTGAGATAAGCTGCTATCAACGTTTTCACAAAAATCTGAACTTTTTGTTTAAAAAACACTAGTTAAATTAGAAAATTTCGAATTCAAAGTTTATAATTTGAGTTTAAAAATCTAAAAGTTAAAAATTTCTCTCTGAAGTTTTTATTTTTGAGATTTTTTGTTATAATTCGGAATATATTTGCAGCTAAATATATATTTTTTTAAATTTTGATTTGCTGATTTCTGTTAAAAAAAAACTCTAAATACGAGAAATCCTAAAGTACTTAGAGAAAAATCCAAGGAGCAAGGTGTTTTGACTTACAGCACACGAGTTGTAATACTTGGAAGAAACATTTCCGTGCACTCTTGGCGGAGGGTTGAAAATAACACTTCTAAGTGTGGCAGAACTTGCAAAACCTGCTTCTTCTTTCAGCATACTAACGAAGAGATACTTTCCAGTGCTATTTTTAAAAGTATGATCATAATTCGGCCCTGTGAAATTTGTTGGTGTCGAACCATTATGTCGAGTCCATTCTAGAACCCTACCATCGACATTGTACCATCCGCACCAGTCTTCCTCAAAGGTGCAACGGGACCCATAGGGCATACCATCTGAATAACACACACAAACAAAAATTTAAATATGTACAGGGTGTCCCACGTAAGATTTTCGTGTCTATCCGAAAGTCTTTGGTGGGACATTCTATACAGGGTGTTCCGTCTAAACCCCACATTAAAATTATTGGGAGTTTGAATAATTATATTTGTTTGAAAATTGGTACATAGCCATAATGTATTAAGTCCTCCTAAATGAAAATATTTTCAAGATGGCGACACTTCCGGTTATACCGGAAGTCGGTCTCAACTTTCTTATTTTAAATGGAAAGCTATGTTTTTTACTGCGTTTCTGTATTAATCGGGTTCTTTTAAGAGAGTTTTAATCAGCTTTCTCTATACCCAAATTTTGCCGTCTTTGAAATATTTGGAGTTTTTCAAAAAAATTTCGATCTGCACCTTCCACTTTAAAGATTAGTAACTCTGCTATTTTTTAAAATTTTGAATTCGTTTTTTTTTGGGTTTGAAAGAGAGAGTTTAGATCTTTCTTTTGGTGTTTTCAAATTTTGAAAAAAATTAACAAACCATCAAATTTTAAGGTTACTTTTGTAATAATTCAAATACCCATAACTCAATTTTTCCAAATGAAATAACCCAATTTTTATTTTACTAAATGGAAGAGAATTTAATGCTGCATCGATCTCTATTTAACATTCCCTATACCTAAATTTAATAATTTTTATGTTATGGTGACTTTTTGTTAGGACTGTCGAAAATCTATTACGTTTTCGTATAGTTTGCTATGGAAATCAAAAATGTCAAAATTGCTTCTCAATAAACGTCGACAGTGACTTATTATTTGACAAATAGTGCCAAAATATGGAGAGTCAAAGCTACTCAAACTTAGATTTAACTAATTTATTTTGTATTTATGGGGAGTGTAACAAAATTATGTCGTTCATTAAACAAAAATATTTTTTTCTCACTTGTTAGCTTTAAATAATTATCGCATGGTAGAATCTATCAATAATAATTAAGTTTGCATAACTTAGGTTTTTCATATTTTGGCACTATTTGTCAAATAGTAATTTACTGTTGACGTTTGTTTAGAGAAAATTTTGACATTTTTGATTTCCATAGCAAACTATGTGAAAACGGGTGTGGCAAGTAATAAATTTTCTGCAGTCTTAAAAAAAGTCCATAACTTGAAAATTATTAAATTTAGGTTTAGGGAATGTTATTACAGATCAATGCACCATTAAATTCTCTTCTATTTAGTACAATAAAAATTGGGGTATTATTACAAAAGTAACCTTAAAATTTTGGGATATGTTTTTTTTTCAAGATTTGAAAACACCAGAAAAAGAATCTAAGCTTTCTCTTTCAAATGCCAAAAAAACCAATTCAAAATCTTGGCAGAGTTACCGATTTTTAAAGTGGAAGGTGCAAATCCAAAAATTTTTGAAAAACTTTAAATATTTCAAAAACGGCTAAATTTAGGTATAGGGAAAGCTGAAGAAAACTCTCTTAAAATAACCCGATTAATCCAAAAACGCAGTAAAAAATATACCTTTCCATTTAAAATAAGAAAGTTGTGACCGACTTCCGGTATGACCGGAAGTGCCGCCATCTTGAAAATATTTTCATTTAGGAGGACTTAATGCATTATGGCTATGTACCAATTTTCAAACAAATATGATTATTCCAACTCCCAATACTTCTAATGTGGGGTTTAGACGGAACATCCTGTATACAGGGCGATTCAGATAAGATAATGAGCCTGACGATCTGGCAATGCAACCCAAAAAACAAATTTCATTTACGTCTTTGATCCAATTTCAATTAGGATTTGCAAATTGAATCCAAGTTATCATCTCATGTCACTCTCACATCAGCGCAGAGAACGATCATTAGTGTCTTTTCTGTGTAAACCCAATACAAAATGTATGAAAGAATGAAACATTAAAAGTAGGCAAACAGTTTTTTTTATAAATCATAAATTGCTTGTCAAAGCACTCAAGATAAATGGATTGCAAATGTAAATCTTAATTAAAATTAGATCAAGATTTAAATGAAATTTGTTTTTTGGGTTGCATCGCCAGATCGTCAGGGTCATTATCTTATCTGAATCACCATGAATAAAAAAAATAAAATTTTGGGAGATGATAATACTGACCGCAATTTTGCGTTTCGTCGTCACCAAGTAGACAATCTTGTGTTATATCACAAATACTGGTGTTATTGATACAGTTTGTGGTAGATTTGCAGCGATATTGGTGGGGTGTGCATGTATCATCGAGTTTAGGGTAACAATGTGTCAATGCGATATTGTCAAATGCTACAACAGCTCCTTGCGTTATTGTCTGCGATGGCACAACTTCGAGAATTATTGTGAAATTTTCAGACATTTTGCCCAAGGGTGATTCGTATTTTCGCCACCTAAAAGAGCAATATTTTAACATTTTGTTCAAAATAAAATTATTGTACTTTTTGCTGTTATCTCCTCGTATCCGTTCAACAAGCCATTGAGTGTGGTTGTTGATAGATTGCGAATGATTGGTTGTTTTATCTCCCACAATGCGGATTTCCGCGTTGTTCATATTTTCTTGATAAATCCAGACCTGAAGCCGACAGGAGTTTCTAGTAGGACTAAATAGTGGACTAGTAACATGGAGAAATTCTGAAGTCATTGGTGAACTTAGTCGGAGCAACAAGAAATTTCCTGAAATAAATAAAAAATTACAATTAGAAAAAATTAAAATTATTGTTTGCTACGTTAAAAAATAGGTGGGTACTGCTTTAAGGTTTCAAAATATGATTCTTGGTTTCCAAACTGTAATTTCATCTAGAGTTTTTCTTAAGTAAAGTTTTGTCAATCAATATTTTTATTATTTGCAAAAAAATTATAAAATCTTCTTAATTAAAAAAAAATTGTTAAAGGTACTTGTGTTTAGTGTTTTTTTTTTCAGTAAAATAAATGTTAATAAAAATCACTTGTACTTGTTAATGTTTTATTTTCATCTTAAACAAAATTTGCAACAAAACTTGCAAGGTAATAATCAGTAATTAAAAATAAAAAGAATATATTCAAACGTGGCGCCATTGTGTGTTAGTAACACATTTGAGCACTAGAGGTGCTGGATTCGTCTTGCTAGTGATTTTCTACTTTCTAGGGAATTCTCATTTCTCACTATCACTTATAAACGCTAAACTTTTAATGGTCTACCCTTCACTGCCTTTATGACACATATTTTTAACAAATTAGCACGAATATGCTTGCAGTTGAATTGTTTAAAAATGAAGACAATTTGAAACAGTAGAACAAAATGTCTCAAATAAGATTACAAATATAAAGGGTATTTCACACTTTATATCAACGAGATGTTAAAGGTATCCTTAATTTTTTGCTCGTCACTGTACCTCCTATGTTGGAAAAAAAATTCATTTAATTGTAAAACCGCCTTAAGTAATTGTCATTGACATTTAGTAGGTTTTGAAAAGTCAAATTTGACGTTAAAGCCTATGTTACTGTGAATTTTCATAAAGTGTCAAAATTTGTAACTAATCTGTCATTCAAATTCAAAGTCGCGTTACTTTTACATTTAATGTCAACTAAATATCAATAGAATGTTATTGATGTCCCATTTTTTTGGCCACGGTGATACCAATTTTTGACACTTTCTGATAATAAACTGTAAAGTGGACTTTAATGTCAAATTTGACTATTTTTAATCTCCAAAAGATAAAAAATGCCAAGAAAATTACTGACAACTACTAATGCCGGTTTCACATTTAATGATCTTACTGTCATTTTTTTGTCCAACATAGTAGATACAAGGTGATCAAGAATGACTATTGAGTTGGCAACATTTGAACATTTACTTATTTAGCTTTTTGAAACATTGCAACTGGACATGATTTTTCTCTTGACAAAAATTTTGGTTAAAAAGTTTATTGGTGGGTCGCAAAGTTTGAATTCGCGTCAAAGTTTGCTAACCAGACTGGTGGTCATGGATATAAAAAAGGGTAGTTGTTTATAAATAAAAAAAATTGATGTTATTTTTTATTTTCAATAAAAGAAAATTTGTGAAGATATTGAATGATTTTATTGAAGAATTCGGATTTTTTTCCCATACATATTGGATATATTTTAATTTAATTTCAATGCAATTTAAAATGTCAAATGTTGTCAGTGTCAAACTGAGAAAAATGAGACAGCAAAGTCATTTTATTAACATTATATAAAACGGCACTTAAAAAATAGCATTACTTTGAACTTGTTACTGATATAGTGGGCAGTGATTTTCCTAACATTTTGACGTTTTTGGAAAAAAACAAATTTTTTTTGTGCAATGAATTAGTGCCCTCAGTTAATAACACAAATAAAATTACATTTGCATTTTAAAAAGATTACCAAAAATATCGTTCATAACCACACATGTGCTTCAAATAAATCTAGGACCTCGTATTGAAGTTCTTGAAACTTTGACTTTTCGAGCGAACCTCGTATTGAACTTGAAAGCAGGTATTTACGTATTTACGCAAGCGTGCCAACTGACAGTGAGCGCGTCCTGCTAATAATTTTGTTAAAAGTCGAGGTAAAAACTGTTCTCCCAATTTGTTGTTACTTTTTTTAAATAATGACTGAAACTGTCGATGGCATTGTTGGTGAAGTACATCTTGAGTAAGTTAATAAATCGTTAATTTTCCTTAATAAATAATTATTTATAGGGAGTTAGTAAAAGATGGTACAATTTTTGAACTCAAACCCAATATCCTAGAAGCTGAATGCATTCACGATGCTGAAAGTACTGAAGCACTTCAAGAATATTTAAAACTCGAATGTCTTGGCTTAGACACCCCTTCCTATGATGGCGAAGAACCATTTACAACAATAGCTAAAGACATGAATAATTTGCTACAAAATGGAAAAATCAAGAAAAAAATTATCAGAGACGGATATGGCCCACCAGTCGACAATTTATCAAGTGTCACAATTAATTACAACGCTTATGTGCAATTTGAGGCCCATCCATTTGACTCGAGTTATGCCCGAAAATCACCGTTTTCTTTCACAGTTGGTCAAGGAGAAGTCATCGAGGGTCTAGACCTTGCAGTGCAATCAATGAAAATCAATGAAAAATCTCAATTCTTAATCGATCCCGAATTTGCATACAAAGACAGTGGTTTGAACAGAATCCCACCAAATTCCGTGGTGTTATTTGAAATCGAATTATGTACAATTAAAGAATGTTTAACTCAAAATACACAAGAAGTTAATGAAAAAGAATTTAAACATGTGCACCCGAAATGCTTAACTCTTTGCGTCAAGGGCAAAGACATGTTTCGTCTAAAAGACTACCAAGGTGCAATCAAACAGTATACAACAGCAGTGAATAAATTAGAAGACGCACTTTTGGAAAATTACGACGAACAATTAAAATGTGAAGAACTTTTAGTTCGTTTATACACGAATTTGTTGGTTTGTTGCACACATGCAGAGATCCCTAAACGCGGCTGTCTCTTTGCACAAAAAATTTATGAAATGGCCAAAAATGATACATTTAAAGTGTCAGCCAAAGTATTTTTCAATCATGCCAAATGTCAAAGAATGTTAGGTAGTTATAATAAAGCGGAGAGGAATTTTTTACAAGCCCGAGCATTAGAACCCAAAAATGAAGAAATAAAGCAAGAATTGGATAGTTTAATAAAGGCAAAAGAAGAGTTTAAAAAGCAACAGGCGAAACTGGGAAAGGCGCTCCTTAGCTCATAATTTAGATAATTTACAAAAATAAAAAAAAATTGTGAATAAGTTGTTGTCTTTCCTTGTTTACAATCCCTCACCTCACGTGATTAATTGTAATTTATTGATTGGTTAATATTTTTGCGCTTGCGCATTTAGAATTAAGCGATTTCGTCCTACAAATAGCCGAGTTCAATTTATCTAAAAACGATTTTTTTGCAACTTTTGTTACGATTATTTGTAAATTGAACGTGTTTAACTGTTATTGGGGTTTTTAAAAGGGGCCCTTGGTTTTAACATCGCGATGGCACGTTTAGTGGAGCCGATAAAATTGAGGTTAGAAACAACATGTTTATTTTTGAATGTTAATTTTTCTTTTACAGTCAGCTGACTCAAGAAGGATTTGAATTTCAAACCGATACAAGTTACGTTGAAAATTCTGATTCCGATGAGGAAACTCCTGATGTGTTAGAAAAGAAAATTCAAAATAGCAATAAGGAATGTATTGGGATTTTTGATGAAGAGGTCTATCAACAAGATGAACCGTTTGAAATAATAGCTAAGAAAATGGAAAATCTTGTAGCAGATGGGAAAATCAAGAAACGGGTTTTACGGGAAGGTAATGGTGAAAAACCAGAAGTGTATTCAAAAGTTAAAATCAACTACAATGCATATCTCGAATATGATGAAAATCCTTTTGATTCGACTTATATTCGTAATAAACCTCTCAAATTCACCATTAGTAATGGAAAAGTTCTACCAGGACTTGATTTTGCGGTAAAAACAATGACACTCAATGAAAAATCTCAATTTTTAATTCATCCTGATTATGCTTACGGTAAAAGTTGTTTAATTAAGGGTGTCCCTCCTAACTCCACTATTCTTTTCGAAATTGAATTAATTGATGTTGTTAATTGCGGAGCTGCTGTTACTTATGAAACACTACCTGAAGAACAACAGGGCACATTTACTGAAGTTTACAAATACTGCATTGCGCTTTGTGAACAAGGTAAAAAATCATTTAAAGAACACGATTATAAAAACGCGATCAAAAATTATAACATAGCCGCTACGAAACTTGAAAAAACTGTTGTGAAAGGAAAAGATGAAAATGAGAGTCGAATGGAACTATTATTGAAGTTGTACACGAATTTGTTGATTTGTTACACACGCTCTCGTGAAGTTAGAAAGGGGTGTTTTAATGCGAAAAAAATCAACGATTTGACTGAAAATGGACGATTGATGAAGATTCCTGCTAAGGTTTATTTTAATCATGCCAAGTGTTTACGCATTTTGTGTGATTATGACGAAGCCAAAGAAGTTTTAAATAAGGCATATAAAATGGAACCGAAGAATCCAGAAATCGCCAATGAAATGTTGAATTTAAATAACGATAGGACGGAACATAAGGACAAACAAATGGTTTTTGCAAAGGCCCTCGTGAATAATTAGATTTTATTGTCATGTTGTAATTTCCGACTTTTAGTTTATTTTTGATATCTTTTGAAATAAAATGTAATCAAAATACTTGTATGTTTTACTTGAAGTAATCACCAGTCCTTTCGTAGAATTACACAGGGCGACAAAAACAAAGTCATGTCGTGACAACTTGACAAATTTTATATCATTTTGTTCGTCTCAGTGAGACAAATCAAATGCACTAAAAAAATTTCAAAAAGTCCACACACTTTGAACTAAATATTTTTTTCTAATTTAAATGTATTTAAAATACTTTAACTTTAAAAAATCATTACTCAATAACTATTAGACCGATTTCCTTCAAACAAAGACCATTCTAAAGGGATGGATTTGCCCTTTAGAATGACATGCAATTTGAAATTGAATATTGGCAAACTTTTCTTCGAACACTGTTCGAAATATTCTTAAAAAAACGCTACGAGTAATTTTTTTTTCATTGTCACCATCGTGTAGAGCATCTCTTTATTAGTTGTAGTCCAAATTTTTAAAAGAATATATCAAGTAGTTTTCAAGATATGATTTTTTGAAGTTAAGGTTTGCTAATCAAGCATTGTTCCATATAGGTTAATCTTACTTAAAATTGCATTTTTATAAAAGTATTAGTTTTAAGACTCTTCTTTTGCTTAAAAATGTTCCATTGCACCTTCTTTGTTCTAATTAGAATAAACAAAAACTGTTTCTTTACTTAAAACAAACAAAGAGTACCTGCGTACTAATTAAAGCAAATAAGGAGTTTTTTTGTTCTAAAAATGATCACTGATCATTGAGCAAAAAGGATCTAGAAGTTTAAAGCAGTAGCTTTAAATATAAGCACAAATCTTTTTCAAATTAAATGACTTTCCATTCAGATTCCAACTTTATTCTAGCTTTCTGAACTACCAACAAAATAAATTAGGTGACTTATTGCATTTAACATCACTAGAAAGTGATGAGAAAGCATTTGCTCAGAACATTTTCAAAAAAAAGTTCAGAAAGCTAGAACAAAGTGAACAAGTCGAAATCTGAATGGAAAGTGATTTGAGTTGAAAAAGATTTGCCTTTATATTTAAGACTCGTACCTTAAACTTCTAGATCCTCTTTGCTCAATGATCAGTGGTCATTTTTACAACAAAAAAACTCTTTATTTGCTTTAATTAGTACGCAGGTACTCTTTATTTGTTTTAAGTAAACAAACAGTTTTTGTTTATTCTAATTAGAACAAAGAAGGTGCAATTGACTATTTTTAAGTAAAAGAAGAGTCTTAAAACAAATACTTTTATAAAAATGCAATTTTAAGTAAGATTAGCATGCATTTCTCCTATATGGAGCAATGCTTGATTAGCAAACCTTAACTTCAAAAAATCATATTTTGAAAACTACTCGGTATATTTTTTTAAAAATTTGGATTACAACTAATAAAGAGATGCTCTACACGATGGTAATGATAAAAAAAAATTACTCGTAGGGTTTTTCTTAGATTATTTCGATTTACTTCGAACTTTTTCGAACACTGTTCGAAGAAAAGTTTGCCATTATTCAATTTCAAATTTCATATCATTCTAAAGGGCAACTCCATCCCTTTAAAATGGTTTTTATTTGAAGGAAATCGGCCTAATAGTTATTGAGTAATGATTTTTTAAAGTTAAAGTATTTTAAATTCATTTAAATTAGAAAAAAATTATTTTGTTCAAAGTGTGTGGACTTTTTGAAATGACATATAATTTGTCAAGTTGTCACGACATGACTTTTTTGTCGCCCTGTGTTATTAGCGTATCATCACTGTAATTATTCAGAAAGATTTACCAAAACTTACTCCTGTTTATGAATAAAACGTAGTAACATGTTGGCGAAAAATCCCAAGAGGTGCGTTCGTGGTAGGAGCAATTGAACCGTTCCAAGTTCCCACGCACAGCGTACCTTCCTACGCGCAATGGCTGTAATGCCCTTTAAACTTTACCTAATTTATCTCATACCCCTACATACACTAGTGATTATTTACAAAATACCGTAGGGCACTTGATTTTTTGCAAGCTCGTTTAATTAATTGTGTTAACGAGAATTGCAAATTCATGTTCATTATATTTTCACTGTTTACATTAGTTGCATTTATTTTTGTATTAGAGAATAACACAGGAAACTGAAATACAAAAGTGTTTTTTTTAATGGAAATGTCAAACGGTCTTAGCGTTGGCACCACTAGCAAATTCATTTGGTAATTTCAATAATGAATGTTGGTTGTTCTGGTTTTTGATTTATTTAAAAACAAAATAATGTCATTAAACGTCAAGTTTTATAAAGTAAGAAGGTTGCCTCGTAATCATGTGTGCGCATTATTCGCGCAAATTGACGTCACTGGTTTAATCATTAAAAAATACGATATGCAACCAAAGATATTATTAAGTTAAAAAACTAGAATTCCGTAAAATAAATACCGATAAAATATTTTTTATTAAGGGTAAAATGAATTAAAAAAAATATAAATTTATTTTGTTATAAGTTGCAATATTTTAATTTATAATTTTATTCATTACTAGGTGTTGCCCGCGGCTTCGCTCGCGTGGTAGTTTGACATCCAAAACTATTTCAAAACGCAGAAGGGCTAAGAAACTTACTAACAAAATATAGCAACACATAATTTATTATGAACTTCGTAGTAAAAATAAAAAGTCCGTCTTTTATATTATTTATAAAACCGTTATTTAAAAACCGTAAAATTTTAAGTCTTATTTCATGGATATTACTTAACAATGACAAATTTTGATACAAATTTTCATTCCATGTTTAACTATACATATTTATACAAACTTTCATCCCTTATTTGACCCCCTTAGGGATAGAATTATCCAAAATCTTGAAACACGTGCTATTTTGTTTTTAACTGAACACCCAAATACCAATTTTCATAGATTTAACTTAAAAAAAAGTGGATATTTTACGAAGTTTTACCCTTGTTCAACCCCCTTGAGGGTGAAATTTCCAAAAATCCTGAAACACGTATTACTTGATTTTTAATCGAAAGCTTAAATACAAATTTTCAAGGATTTAACTTTATAAATGACATACCTATTTTAATACAAATTGTCATCCCTGTTTAACCCCCTAGAGGGTGGAATTTTCAGAAATCCTAAAACACGTGTTTCTTCATTTTTAACCGAAAGCCCAAATCCCAATTTTCATAAATATAACTTCAAAAATGACGAATTTATAAATATTTATACAAATTTTCATCCCTTGTTTGACTCCTTTGGGGATGAAATTTTCCAAAATCTTAAAACACGTGTTTTTTGTTTTTAACTGAGAGCCCAAATGCCAGTTTTCATGAATTTAACTTTAAAAAAATATACGGATATTTTACGACCTTTTACCCTTGTTCAACCCCCTTGGGGGTGAAATTTCCAAAAATGGTAAAATACGTATTTTTTTGTTTTTAACCGAAAGCCTAAATACCAATTTTCTTGGATGTAGCTTTAAAACTTCGAATTCACCACCCCATTTAAACCCCTTTGGGGTTGATTTTCCAAAAATCCTTTATTATTGGATAACTACGTTATAAAAGGTATTTACTGTGAAAATTTGAAATTTCTGTCTCCAGCGGTTTAGGCTGTGGGTTGATAGGTCACAAACCTCTTTATATATATAGATTTCTTTGATTTCTATATCAGAAACTATTTATCGCAAAACACTGATTTTTTTGTATATGATAGAAACTTATTTTTTTCCAACGGTAAGCGGGGTTATCACCAAGAAGTTCGGGGTTATTATAAATAGACCGATCGGGTGCCAAAAATCGACGAAAATCTCGACAAAAATCAAAAAAATTTTAACTTTAATAAAATTGATCCATATAACGTTTTTTACATTTCTAGTGATTTTTGGAAACCGATGACAGTAGTTGTCAAACTAAACACTGTTTCATTTATAGTCATAAACTACAGTTTTTCAGAAACAATTATCATTTGTTCTATCAAGAGACGGCATGAATATGATTGTAGTTTATCTATCTTAATCACCAACTAACTAAAAACGTTGTAATTTTTGAAAGGGTGAACAAACTAGTGAAGATTATCCAATTTTTCAAAATTTGTAATCGAGTTCATATCGGAATATGTATTATTGATTGCATCTTACAGGCGCAGGCCTCGTAAAATTAAGTGAAACACCATGTATAATAAGAATACACATAATTTAATAATTAACATATTATTGTATTGTTTTGTGTTAATTTCATTTTTTTTGTATGCATTGCTTTGAGAGCTCTTTTATTCTCTGCAAACATTAAAAAAAAATATTCAAGCAAAATTAATCGTTAATTTGGTCATTATAAACGATTTTTATATATTTCTACTTTTAGTTGAGTTTTTTCACAATGACCACATTTGAAATAACATCAAAAAGGACTTTAACTGAAAGATACTTTGTTTTCGCTGGAAATAAAAACCTCAAAAAATTGCAAATCAGGACATAAAAGTAAAACAGGACAAGACAATAAAAACCTAAACATGTCCTGGCTAAATAACCTTTTTTAACTAACAAAAAATTAGTACAAATCAAAATTATACGTTTGAAAAGTTGTCTATAACAAAAAGATTCTAAAAACACTCGACTGATTGTACGGTCCTTGAAAATCACCTGTATCCTGTATAACTTTGATTGTTACGAGGATTGTTATATCGAGAGATCAAGATAATTTGTAATCGAGTCATCTTTAGATCCAAAATTGTATGTCTATTTTTGAACTAACTGCACGTGAAACGTCAAATAAAATGACAAGTCGAAAGGTAAAACGGCAAAATGGACTGGAGTTAGTTGCCAGGACCGTTTTTTTTTTTTGAAGGTAAGTCATAAATTTAGTTATTAATTTTTTTTTTTTTTGATTATGCCATTTTACCTTTCGACTGGAAAGTCTCGACTTGTCACTTTATTTGACGTTTCACAGACATACGTTTTTGGATCCAAGGATGACTCGATTGCAAATTATCTTGATCGCTCGATATTCGATTCACTATCAATAGGTCTTTATCAACGCTTTATCCGTTATTTTGTTGTTTGTATGTGATTGATTATTATAA